AAGGAAGATCAAAAGTTTAAGCCTAACCTGGGCAATGTAACAAAATCCAGCTCCCCCACCTCCAAAAATGAGAGAGAAAGAGAGAGAGAGAGAGACAGACAGACAGACAGACAGACAGACAGAGGCTCAATGTGAAGGCCCTGGGTTCAATCCTCAGTACTGTGTGTGCATAATGTGCACACTCATGTGCATGCACACAGACAGTTTAGTTTTATAAAGAAGCACTGCACCAAATGCATGGAATTCATATTTTCTCAAACTTTTAAAATTACAAGGAATGATGAAAAATACAGTGAATGTTTGAAGTTAAAATGTATTGCAAGAGAAGATACATTGCATTAATCACTGTAAAATGCTGCCTCTTCCCCTGATTTGAACACACTTACCTCATGGGTCTTTCCACTTTCTAGACACATTCCTGGGAGTCTTCTTTATACGTTTGTGCAAAATGTGATAAAAAATATGGTGAATGCCACTGTCAAGTGCCATCCAATAGAAAGACAGATTTGTAAAAATATTACAATGTGTCCTCATCTTCCTTATTCACCAAATTTTATGTCTTGCAACTCCTGACTCTTTCCCAAAGGCAAAATGGCCATGAAAGGTAAACATTTTGAATTGATTCAGGACATCAAATCAGCCATGGTAGCTCAACAAGACACTCAAGGAAAGGACTTCCAGAACTGCTTCAGAAAGTGGCAAGAAGGGTGGGAGAGGCTTGTTTGAACTGAAGAGGAGTATTCTGAGGGGGATTAATGGCACTGTGTCTTTTACTATAATTTTTAAAATTTAAACACATTTTTCAATCACATTTCCTACAACTATTATTAATGATATACAATAGCTACAATTTCTTGAAACACCTGCTTGTAGTCAGGTCAAGTATATCATCAAGTGTGCACACATCGGCCTGCCAGACACTCCAATCACACTGGCCTGTTTGGATGCCCCAGGGTCTTCGCATGTGCTGTCCATGTCTGGAATGTCCTCCTCTGTGCTATGTGTATGGAGGTTCCTTCTTGTGCTCCAGGACACCAGGAGGCTTTCCCTAACAGCCCAGTTGGACTCCCAGGATGCTCTCACAGAGGATTGTTTTCTTCTTATAACCCCCAGAATCTTGGAATTATGTCATTTTTAATTTCCTTTTTATTTTCTTTCTTTCTCAGAGTTGTCAGACAAAATATAGAATAACCAGTTAATCTGAATTGCAGATAAAGAATAAGTGCACTATTTATATTTATGCTTTAAAAAAACAATTGTGTATCTGAAATTCAAGCATAACTGGGCATGTCGTTTACTTATTTGCTAAATGTGATGATCTTGTTCCCCATTAGCCCAAAAGCTATGTGAAGAAGGATGCTGACTGGTCCCACAGGGAATCCCTGGCGCCTGGCACAGTGGACGCTCGGTAATCACTTACTAAACACACCTGACACACATTCCCGCTGGCCTTGCTGACACTCAGTGCATTGCCCTTCCAGGTGTCACTAGCCGGCCATCGTGTCCCACTAGCCTCCACAGTTTGCCGGCACCCTGGCCGCCCTATTCTCATTGTCAAAAGACCAGAGTCCAGGGCAGGGCAGCAACTTCCAAGGAAGCTACTTTGGAGGGCTTTAAAAATAAACTGAAAACAAGACACTAGAGGGAAAACAGACCTGCGGAGATGCAGCCAGACCTCCGGGTGTGGGGGTAATTTGGGGAAGAGACAGGGAAGTGGCAGGCAGAGAGGTGACAAGTCTCAACAAAGAGGCAGCCGCATGACCTCACAGGAAGGCACATCCATTAGAGGGGCTCGTCGCCATGGAGACCAGACAAATGGGCCAGGCGGCCAGGGAGGCAGGAACAAAGCGGCTGTGGGGAGGACACTGGGGGAGCCCCCAGTGCTCAGTACAGAAGGTCGCTGAGTGGAGACAGGCCAAACATGTGACAGGTGCCTGAGGGGCAGGAGCTGGGCTGCACCTGCAAGAGATGGGAGGCATTCAGGAAGTTCCAGAAAGACACCAGGTGGACCTGACATAGACCCTCAAGAGTTGGCATCTCCCACAACGCACATCCATCCCTCAAGAATGCATCCTCTGCACCTTTTGGGGACCATAGAGACCCCCTGGCCCCTGCTGGCTGGAAATGTCCAGGTCCCCAGCCCCAGCCCCTCAGCAATAGAGGTGATCAAGCAGTGCCTGTGAGGTCATGCCTTTGCCCCTTTGCTGAGACTTGCCACCTCCCTGCCTGCTCCGCCCCATTTCACAGTGGGGGGGGGGCACTGCAGACTCAGAGCATGAACCTCCTGTGAGGCAGCAATCTGAACAGCCTGCTGTGGGGCTGGCTCACCTCTGCAAGGCTGCCCGCAGTGCTCACAGGAAGAGCTCCTTTGCTCATGGGCTCTGGAATTCCAGAACTGGATTTGAGCATCCAGAAGGGGGATTTTGTCTGCCATGACTGAGCTCCACCTCAGGACTCCTGACTTCCTGTTTCAGGGAGGTCCAGGATGACAGAGGGACAAATAGTGACAGAAGGACAAATAACCGCTTGCATGAGTGTGTGGCTTCTCACTCATGAGTGTCCCCACCTGGACCCCAACCCAGGCTGCAGCCTTAACCATATCTGTCACAACGAAATGACTATGCTCTTGTGTGAAAACACTGTGACTTTGGAGTCAGCAAGGGACGTCCAGGCCCGGGAGCCGGACCACATGTGTGCGTGGGGATGGGATGTGTGTCAGGGTTGGTGAGAGAGTTCAGTTCCTAGAGTGTATTTTCTGCTGGCCCTGGAGACTTGGAGATAGGAAATTTGAAAGAGCATTGCTGTGAAGTCTGTCCTCTGTGCTCTGAGTGCCCATTTTAAGGTTGGTATCTCCAGGCCCATTCATTCACAAAATGGGAAGTAGGAGAAAATTCTGCAGAAACGCCATTCAATTCTGGGCATCTGGCTTCTGTGTGCCAGCTTTCTAGGGCTGACCAGGCGTGAGCAGTGAAATGAGCTCACCTCCAGAACTGCTAACCAAACCTGGTGTGGCAATTTAGCAATGTACCTCAGTGCCTCAAAATAAAAACAGCTGGAAGGTATAGATCAGTAGAAAGGTCCTGGGTTCAATCCTCAGTACTGCAGAATAGAAATAAGTAAAATAAACAACCAAATAAAAATTGGTTCCCCACCTCCTGATGGTGTATCTGTTAACACTTTGAAGGACACAGTTCCAGATTCTCCATGGATGTATATGTGCGCACACGCACGTGTGTGAGTGTGAAAGGGCCTTCATTCTCCTGGGATCTACTTCTCTCCGTTAAAGACAATTCTTTCATATCCCTAAGTGTACAGCTAAGCCCATTGTATGAACATGCCATCATTTCCTCAGTCTATAAGTGGGAGAAAATTGAACCTATCATGCATTTCTGGGCCCCTACCCCAGCCCTTGCCCAGCCTGGGGGGTTCTTGGGGGAACACCGACTCTGGACCCTGGGTCGTGCTGGTTTCCACTCAGACCTGTGAGCCTGATTAGCAGCCCCACTTGATTATTCAAGTGTGAAACTCAACCAAGTTAGGAGTTCTCCCTATGCTAATGGTTGAGAAAGCTGAGTAGGCTGTAGATTAGGGGAGCTTTTATCAGAAAGCACACCAGATTCAGGCTTTTCAAAATGACCTTGCAGGAGCGAGATCAGCTGGTCCAATATTTCATTTTGCAGATACAAAGGTTGACTTCTGAAACACAAAACAAAAGAGGGTAGAGAAGAAAGAAAAAAGAAAAATCAAGTATTTTTATGACTATAACTCAAACAGGATCAATTTTATAAAACATTTATATTCCAGTAGAAAAATCAACAAAGGATACAAACAGAAAATTTCCAAAATATAGAGAGGTTAAAAAAATACCAAAAACAGTTCAAAGTTTCTGACAAAGAAATGAAAACAAATATCTATTTTTGTCCGTCTAATTTTGAGGAAGATGCTCATGGCTGGAGGGCTTAAGGAGTGGGATTTTTTTATGCTTCTATTGGGATTTTTAATGACATGAAGTTCCCAAGAGTGTAACATGGCTAAGGCTGGAGCTCAGTAGTAGACTGCTTGCCTGGCATGCATTTGTTCTGTCTGCAGTGTGGCAAAAGCAAAAAGCCATGACAAAATCATAAAACAGTGTAACTTGGGCATATATCCAAATATATTTTAAGATGGTCATACCATATGATACATGTTTTTACCCCTAGGAATTTATCTTAATGAATTAATTATATATAGTCACAAAGATTTATCTTCCAGGATGTTCACTGCAACATTTTTTATGATGGTGAAAATGTGGGAAAGACATAAATGTCCAACAAATGGCGGATTGGTGAAATAAATGGAACCCTAGGCAGTCACTATGGCTCAAATTTTAGAAAAATTAATGACGCGAAGAGGTTCATGATATAAATTTTAAAGTTTACCTATAAAATCGGTTACTTTATAAAAGTAGACAGTCCCGGACAGGAGAAGTATAGGTGGTACAGGTAGTCCTATCTTCAGGGCTTATCTTTATGCTGCTGTACTTTTCAAAATTCCTCAAATGGACATTTTCCCTCTCTCCCTCCCTCCCCTTTTCTCTTTCTTCTTTCTTCCTTCCTTTCTTCCTTCTTTTCTTCCTTTCTTCCTTCCTTGCACTAGCGGTTGAACCCAGGGCCTCAGGTATGCCAAGTACACTGCCTATCACTGAGCTCTTCCTCCAGCCCCTGGATGTATTTGGAACTTCTTAGTTTAAAACACACACACACACACACACACACACACACACACACACACACACCAAAAACAAAACAAAAGACAAAAACAAAACAGTGGGGCTGAGAGTTCAGCCTGTTGGTGGGTCTTGCGGGAAGACTGTGTTTCAGGCAAGGGGCAGCCTACAGACCACTGGGCTGTCCTTCTTCAGGTCCCACACAGGCATCACAGTGGGTTTGGGAACATTCCGTGGTCTTTGTGCCCTCTTAATCCTGCATGTCTCAAGATTCCAATGTTTCTGGAACTGTGGAGTTTGATTTTCCAGTATCCCAGAGGAACAAGGTACTGGCTCTGCTGGCTTTACACAGCCTGAAGGTAGTTTCTATTGCGGCTGCAGGTAAGCTTCATGGTCTTGTCCTGACCTCGGCTGTCAGCTTTCCATCCATAGAGCAAAGCAAGAACACACCAAGAGAGAACCAAGGAGGGGGAAGATAGCACCCGATTCAGGGTTGATTTGTCAAAACACACGAGTGGGGGAAGATGGAAAAAGAGTGACAGCAAAGGCAAAAAGGCACCAGAGAGCCCTGTGATCAAATAGGGCCAGACAGACACACCAAGACACCAAAGTCAGGTAACACCCAAGTGCTATCATTTGGATCTGGAATGTTATCTTACTATTTTTTTTAAGTCACTGGGACACAATGCCTGACACCTATAATTTAAAGGAAGAGAGCTTAATTTTTGGCTCATGGGTATAGCCCATACTTGGCTTGCTCCAAGGCCGGACAGCATGGCAGAAGAGTATGGAAGAGGAGAGCTGCTCTGAGCATGGCAATCTAGAAGCAGAGAATGAAGGGAGGAGCTGAATAGAGAGAGAAAGACGTTTCCAGACTATGCCTCCAGTGTCCTGTCTTTTATGATCAGGCCACACCTTTTTTTTTTTTTTTTTTTTTTTGTCTTTTTCATTTTTATCGGTACCAGGGATCGAACTCACGACCGCCTGCTTGCAAGGCAGGTGCTTATGCCGCTGAGCTAAATCCCCAGCCCCTGGCCACACCTTTTAATAGCAGATTTAGTTATAAATCAAATCACTTGCCAAATGCCCCAGTCTTGAGTGTGAGGCTTTGGGTGTACATCTAGATATAAACATAACATTCTGTCCCTGGTCCCCAAAAGGCACATGCATGTCTTTTTTAAGCAAAATGCACTTAATTTATCTTCAAGTTGCCGAAGTCCTAACAGTTTCAGCATTGCCATAAAGTTCAAGTCCAAAGTCTTCTCTGAGACCTATAGCAAACCCTTAGCTGTGAGGCCCCGTAAAAACAAAATAAAGTTAAATACTGCTGACATACAATGGCAGAGGGTAAACATTCTCATGCCAGAAGTGGGGAGGAGGAGATATAGAGACCAATGAGACAAAAGCAAGACTGAAATCCAGTAGGGCAAACATGAAAATTCTGCAGCTCTGGCACTTGGGGCAAGTTGTGATGAAGTATAAACTCCAAACTCCAAATGGCTTGGGTGGTCCTGCTCCTACAGCATTGCTAAAGGTTGTAAGTCTCATGGCTTCTTGTTTGGGCTGGTTTTGCTCACTCACTGACATTTTCCCTAGACTTTCCATGTTCCTGCTTCTCCAGCATTCCATTGTGCCTTCAGGTTCACTCCTCAGCTTCACACACTTCTCTCTTGGGGATATAATGTCTGGCCTTTCAGTTCTTTTGAAATCTGGGTAGAATCTTCCCTGATGTCTTGCTTTCTGCATACCTGTAAAACCAGAACCATATGCACGGTGCAAAGGTCTGCTGCTAGCTCCAGCAGTAGTCAGGCCCTTTTGCATCATGGCAGCAGGAGCCTCTGAGAACCTGGATGGCTAATCATTATGAACAGAATCTTGGGAAACTGACTTCCTAGGCAGCTCTTCTCAAGCAATGAGCCCTGGGGACCTCAAAGCAAAGTCATCAGGTTCTCAGTTATGAGCTTGGGAAGGGTCGGGCCTTGCTAATTTCTTGTTGCTGTCAAGCCATTTTGTCCTAATAACAAAGTACTTATCTTCTTTTTAATGCTAATCTTTCCAGTAATCAAGGTCTCTTTTGCTTCATCTTTTTAGGCACTTTCTGGCAAAACTGAAACCTTTTTTTTTTAAGGAGACAAGAAATTTTTACTTTAGAATTACACTTGTGTGAAAACTACAGCTCTGAATGTAACCAAAATTAACCAAGGCCACACCCCTTGTTCACCCGTTTTTCCCTCCAGGTGCCTCATCCTAAATCTCTGAGAGTCTATTTTTTTTTTTTTTTAAGAAACAAAACAAAACAGAAAAAGGCTAGAAATAATACATAATTTCAAAAAAAAATAAACAGTAAGAAATCACTAGTTGATAAATTATATATTGTCCTCTTAGAAATAGTTGTTCAAGTTACAAAAGTAAAGCACACAAAGTGGACATTCAAACAGCAAGACTGCAAACAGTTCTGTTCAACTATCCAAACAAAACCCCAGTAATATGGTTATCAGCCCTACACACTTAAACATACATGCAGTTATATCCTTTAGGAGCACCTTCTTTTCCTTTCTTGTTTACAATAGCAATTACACACTTTGGGTTTTATTACTCCTACATTTATTATTACTTTTTACACTAGAGACACAATGTGATATTTATAAATGTGATTCTTATTTATTTCACTAATGAGGATAGCCTCAAGCTGTCTCCATTTGCCTATGAAGGCCTCAAGATCATCCTTTTATAGCTGAATAATATTCCATTGTATAAAAATACCACATCTTTTTCATCCACTCTGCAGCTGAAGAGCATCTTGGCTGTTTCCAAGATTTAGCTATTACAAATTGTGTTGCTATGAACATGGGTGCACATAGGTCACTGTGATATGACCTTTTCAGTTTTTCTGGGAAAACACCCAGGAGGGAATAGCTGGATTGAATGGAACTTCCAATTCTAGTCTTCTGAGAATTATCCATACTGATTTCCATAGTGGTTGCACCAGTCTACCCTCCCACCAACAGTGGAGCAGTGGTCCTTTTTCCCTGCAGCCTCGCCAACGTTTGTTATCAGTTGATTTCTTGATGGCAGCCATTCTTTCCAGAGTGAGATGAAATCTCAATGCTGTTTTAATGTGCATTTCTTGACTGACCAGTGATGGTGAACATTTCTTCAAGCATTTATTTGCCATTTGTATATCTCCATCTGAGAACTGTGTGTTCATCTCAGATGTCCATTTTTGGAGAGGGTCTTTGAATTTGGGGGTCTTGATGTTTTCCAGTTCTTTATATGTTCTGGACGTAAGTCCTTTGTCTGAGGGGTTGCTGGCTGAAATTCTTTCCCATTCTGTGGGGTTTCTTTTCACTCTTTTCGTGATTTCTTTTGAAGTGCAGAAACTTTTCAATAATATGAGATCTCAGTTGTTGATTCTTTGAAGTATTTCCCATGCACTTTGAGTTTTGTTCATGAATTCTTTGCATATCCCTATATCTCCAAGATATCTACCTACCTTGTCTTCCAGTAGATTTAGTGTTTCTGTTTTAATATTTAGGTCTTTGATCCATTTAGACTTTAGTTTTGTGCATGGTGATAGGCATGGATCTAATTTCAGGCTTGGGCATGTGGAGAGCCAATTTTTCCAACAGCATTTATTAAAGAGGCTATCCTTCTTCCAGTGAACATGTTTAGCCCCTTAGTCAAACATCAAGTGGCTGAGTGTCTTTGTAGTTGTACTTGCATCTTCTAATTTATTCCATTGATCCTCAGGTCTATTTCCTTGCTAGTACCATGCTGATTTTATCACTGTGTCTTTATAGTATGGTTTCAAGTCAGGAATTGAGATGTCGCCTACCTTGCCTTTGTTGCCCAGAATTGCCTTTGCTATTCTAGGTTTCTTCTTTTTCCAAATGAATTTTAGGAGTGTTTTCTCTAGATCTGTGAGGTATTTCAATGGTATTTTGATTGGGATTGGATTAATTCTGTGTAAGAGTTTTGGGAGTATGGCCATTTTCACAATGTTGGTTCTTCCTAGCCAAGAGCAAGGAATATCTTTGTGTTTTCTAATATTCTCTTCAATCTCTTTTTTTATTTAGTGTAGCATAATTATCTGCATATAGGTCTTTTACATTCTTGGTTAGGTTGATTCCTAAGTATTTCATTTTTTTAAATGTTATTGTGAAAGGAGACATTTCCATAATTTCTTTCTTGGTGAGTTTTTTGTGTACAGGAATACTATTGATTTTTGAGCATTGACTTTTTATCCAGCTACACTGTTGAATTTTTTTTATTACTTCTAGTAGTCTTTTAATGGAGTTTTTGGGTCTTCTATTTAGCATATCAAGTCATCTGCAATAGTGATAATTTAACTTCTTCCTTTACTATATTTATTCCTTTTATTTCTCTCTCTCTTGTCTGATTGCCCTGGCTAGTGTTTCAAGAACCATATTGAATAGAAGTGGTGATAGTGGACATTCTTGTCTTGTTCCTGACTTTAAAGTGAAAGCCTTCAGTTTTTATCCATTTAGTATAATTTTAGCTGTTGGTTTGTCATAGATGGCCTTTATAAGATTGAGGTAGACACTGTGTATTCCAAGTTTCTGAAGGGTTTTTTATCATGAACATGTGTTGGACTTTATCAAAAGCTTTTTCTGCATCTATTGAGATGACCATGTGGTTTTTGTTTTTGGCTCTGTTGATGTGGTGTATTACATTTATTGATTTGTGTATGTTAAATCATCCTTGCATTCCTGGAATGAATCCCACCTGGTCATGATGTATAATCTTCTTGATGATTTGCCACATTCTATTTGCCAGCATTTTATTAAGAATCTTTGCATCAATGTTCATTAGTGATATTGGCCTATAGTTCTCTTTTTTGGTTGGGTCTTTCTCTGGTTTTGGTGTGAGAGTAATACCTCTAGGAAATGATTTAGGGAGGATTGCTTCCTTTTCAATTTCATCGAAGAGTTTAAGGAGTATTGGCATCAAATCTTCTCTAAATTTCTTGTAGAATTTCTTGTAAATTTCTAGTAGTATGAATTCATCAGGACCTGGGCTTTTCTTTGTTGGTAAGTTTTTAATTATGTTTTCAATTTCAATAAGTGATATTGGGTTATTCAAAATAGTTATATCTTCTTGATTGGGATTTGTAGTTCATATGTTTCTAGAAATCTGTCTATTTCCTCTGGTTTTCCACTCTACGTGGGTTAGAGATCTTCAAAGTAGGTATTCATGATCTTTTGAATTTCCATGGGATCTGTAGTAATTTCCCCCTTTTCAGTCCTTATTGTGTGAATTTGATTTTTTTCTTTCTTTTTCTCTATAAGCTTAGCTAGAGGTTTGTCAATTTTGTTTGACAAAAAACAGCTCAAAAACAGCTTTTTGATTCATGAAGGCTT